AGTTTCATCTGCAACTTGATCTGAAAATCCATCTTCCGTTCCTGGTTTTGCGTGACAACGTCGCGCAGCTACTTATTGAAATATCCTTTTTGTCTATTAACACATGATAAAAAAAAATTTATCGTGGCTTTTAACCGGATTTACTTATTTCTGCAAGTGATACAAGCCCAGAAAAGGAAATGATTGTTATTTCACTAAAAATACCAGCGTTAGGGCTAGGGTTAAGGTTTGGTATTAGAAAAGTCATAGTAAAATTTGACCAGGAATTTTTTTTATTAGGACGTAAAAAGTGATTTCCTAGGCATTATTTTGAGTTACTGGCAATATTTTGAAAAGCCTTCGATCTCATGTAACACAAAGCTTGCAACTGATTTTGCGATCTACATAAAAAAATTTTCCTTTTTGGGCTTGTATCACTTGCAGAAATAAGTATTCACCTTTTAACCCAGTAATTCTTGTTTTTACCTGTTTTTGTTTGCTGTTCTGACTGTATTCATCGATATTGGAATCATTTATATCATATCGATATAAATTTTCTGCTTCACTTGATTTGAATAAAATCTTTTTTGCGTACTGTACTGTATGCGACACATCACTAAGTGCGATAACCTATATATTTACTAAATGCAATAACCGATACTCCCTTTCTGATTTTGCGTGACAATGTCGCGCATCTATCTTATGATAAAATTTTGGAGTGACTGATATATAATTACGTTCGCATGTACATACGTGTATGCGTACGCACGAACGTATGCTTATTTCTTTCACTAACGTAAAGTTAATTTTTTATCAAAATTTTTCATATATAAAATATTTCATGTTCCAATAAATCTTTTAGACCTTATGGCATTAATACTCAGGTAAGTTATTACCGAATATATTACTATTTTATTTATTTTCTAATTATATAAAAATTTTAGTAACTGGTCAGGATACATCCCGAAACGAATTATAACTATTATATTGTGTAGTTTTGCTATTATTATCAGCTATGCTGGTATATTCCAATATTAAATCATTATCATTGAAAACTTGTCAAATTTATTCATTAATTAATTAATTCTTTCTTTTTTTTCTTTCGCGAAAGATCGATCAAATTTAGCAATTGCCATAGTTTATATGTCTAAGGAATTCAATTGGAATCATAGTACTCAAGGTCTTGTATTATCATCATTTTACTTCGGATATATTACTACACAAATTATAGGTGGTGTGCTTGCTGATAAATACGGTGCCAGGATAATATTAGGCATATGTGAGTAATATTCTAAGAGATATACTGTTTTAATTTTAAATATATATATTTATACTTTGTTATTTTTAAACTGTTTATTTTCAGCTGCTATATCTTGGTCAATTTTTACTTTACTTACACCAATTTCTGCCAGAATAAATATATATTGTCTTATACTGTGCAGGATTTGTTTAGGAATTGGTGAAGGTGTAACATATCCATGTGTACAATCTTTAGTCGCAAAATGGTTTCCACCTCAAGAACGAACTAGAGCTGTTTCGTTATTGACGGTTTCAAATGTTAGTGGTATGCTAATTGCCATGCCAATTTCCAATAAATTAGGATCTAGTAAGCTTGGCTGGGAAAGTATTTTTTGGGTATTTGGAATTATTAGTTTCATTTGGACAATTTTTTGGTATTTTTATGGGAAAAGTGATCCTAGAGATTATTCAG